ATTAGTCGGCCAAGATTGCAATTAGACAGGGAGCCAATGATCTTTACCTTTTCAAGCTCCTTCTTCCTACATTGTGATAGGATTGTCTTTACTGTTTCTAGCACATCCTTCTGAGTACCAACAGCCCTGAAAATGATCAGTGAGATAGTAATATTCAACATAAGGGGATACCTTGACCTAATTAGGTAACCTAATCAACTATCAAAACAGGAAACCCCACCTAACGCCCATATCGGTCAGGTCGCCCTTGCTCAGCCCTGCAAGATGTCTTCCAGCTATCTTGTTCTCTAAGGTGGATAAGAAACGGAAACGAGTGACGCTGTAGGCAAGTAGCTACACGGTGGCTAACCACGGAACAACTGCAGGATATCGTCTCCTACGCCATGATCTCTAAGACGTTCTGCGACTTGATCAGTGGACCAGTTTTCCACTGATTTCACGGACCTCCCTTCGCTACCATCGTCAAGTCGTTGTCGGCGAGCGAAGGGGACACCTATCTCCTCTAGGGAGGGCGCTTCTATGGTAGCTTCACGCCTTCTCTTCTTCGTCTGGTCCGACATAACACCTCGCCGTCGCTTGCTGGCTTTTCCCGTTCTTGTCGATTTGGTATGGGCTACGCCTTTTAACGGAATGGAATGCGACCCCGAGAAATAATTGTGGGGGTGTGGTCCTCATAAAAGGGGCGTGGGCTGGACGTGGCTAACTTGGTAAGGATTCCGAACAGCTAGGGCAGTGTTTGGTGATGGAGGATAACAACTGCCGCGGAAGATTCTTGACGCGAGCTCGCGAAGTCACTCCCTCCTCGCTCCTCACCTTCTTCCTCTTCACTGTCTTCGGAGTGGGCTCGTGGCTGGCCGTCAACGGCGTATGGAGCGAGCTCCCCGTCCTCGTCGCGAGTCTCCCCGAGTGCTACGACCTCCCCGCCGTCCTCTCGATCGTCACACAACTCGCTAACCTGGGACCCATCCTCTACGTCTTTGTCAAATTCTGCCTCTCTCGGTGCTCGGTGCGGCAGTTCACGATCGAGATCGGGGCAGTCTATGCTATTATTTCCATCGGCGTATTGTCGTGTGCTGCACTGGCTTTAGCATGGGACGAAACGGCAGTTGTCGCGGACGAGAGACGCAGCGTTGCACTTATCGTACTCACATTTTCCCTCGCACTGGTCGACTGTACCTCGACCCTCGTCTTTATCCCATTCATGAAACACTTCCCTGCCCACTACATCACTGCTCTCTTCATTGGAGAAGGAATGAGTGGAGTTCTGCCCAGCCTAGCAGCCCTGGCACAGGGATTCATAAACAAGAGTGTCGACTGCGCCCAAAACTACATCGGTGTTAGAGAACTTGGGATCAACTTTAGTCCAAACGTCTACTTTGTCTATCTGGGGTTCACTGACGGTCATCTGTGGGCTAGCGTTCACCGCCATCATAACTCTGCCAGCGGTACGTCGACAGATGATACCTGCGTCGGTTTCAGTCAGTATAAGAGACGGTTCACCCCCATTCAGCTCACCAACCCACCACAGCTTCTCCGATAAATTCGGGAGGACTTCTCACCTCTCCTCCGAAGAGGTGACCGAGAGCAGAGAAGAGAGGGAAAACTTGAGAAACAGAGATTTCTCTCCTCTGCTTGACTCAAGTGGGGACGAAAGTGTCCCATACTCGCCCACTCTCTGGAAACCAGAGACTACTTGCTACAGTGACACGCGCGGCTACCTCGCGAGGCTTGCGTCCATAGCTTGGAACAACCGCCAACTCCTGGTGTGCATGTTTGTCCTCAATTTCTTCAGTGACGGAGCTATACCGTCCACCTCGGCCTACATCTTCAAGCCTTACGGGAACACCGTTTATACACTGGCTGCAAATGTAGGACTCCTGGTCAGGCCGTTGGTCGCCCTCTCTTACGTGTTACTATCACACAAATCCAGAATATTGATTGCAGTGTTGACGTCCATTGCTTCACTGTTGGGTATCTATCTACTGGTCTGTGCTGCTCTCTCACCTGATCCACCTCTCAGAGACTATTTGGCCGGGAAAGTCATCGTTGTAAGTGAAACAAAAGACCAACAAGTGTTGACTTAACCCCCTGTATGTGTACTTTAAGGTACAAGCAACTCACTTTAGTAGGAAATTGCGTAATAGCTGAAATTTCTGGCAAATTTACCAGGTTTGCCTGTACAAACGTGTTCCCCACTCCAACCCCATCAAAATTAAGAAATTAAACCCTTAAAGTTCTGCAGTGGCACCAACGATTTTGTCCCTTGTAGAGAAGTCGTCCCTATCTCAGAGATCAAATAATACACTAAAGTATTAGCATCAAGTGTCCTTTGTAGAGAGGTCGTCCTTATCTCGGAAAGGTCCCTATTGGGGAGGTTCCACTGTATTATTATTCCTCTGTATGTCCTGCAGGTGGTAGTGTATGTGGTGTTCAACGGAGTGGTGGCCTACTCTAAGGTTGGACTGGTGATCCTTCTCCACGGACAGGGCTCCGAACGAGACTCCGCCCTCTTCCTGGTGGGCGTGGTCATACAGCTGGGCTCGTTTGTTGGTGCCGTCGTATTCTTCTGTCTTGTCTACTTCGCAAATATCTTCAGCAGTTGACAGCAATCTCATTTCATCATTCTCCATGTGCAGTGTGTGAAAATATTTGGCAGAAATTTGTTTAGTTTTTGTTTCACAATCCTCGTCTGAATTTTGTCACACTACAACAATCAAACATGAATTTTTCAGATTTCGGTTAAAATAAGACGGATCACATGATGGTTCTTGAATACAACACCACGCGCAAGATCATAAAATAAATACATTGAAGATGTGGTGCTACACACATAATACACAAACCAGCAAAGGCTCTCAATCAACAAAAAAGTAAACCGCAAAAATAAAGAGACGGGAATTGCAGAGGGAGGGGTTAGATGGTCACACAGACGGTAGGGAAAAAGATGAAGGGAGAGGAGGGGCAGAGAAATCAATTAGATTACTATTCTGCCGCACTTCGTCAGGGGTTCCCGATGTGGAAGGGGGCGTGGCATGGTGCTCACTAATTGGAGGTGGGGAGAGCCCCTCGACCATGCTGACACGAGCCTCGATGACCCCGACCTCTTGCTGGGAGGGGCTGGGGGTGTGGTCTGGTGGGTTGGCAAGCTCTAACGGTACCAGCTGTTGGACAGCCACAGGGCCCTCGTTGGCGGAACCTTTATCACCCTCTGTAAGGGTAGCGCTAGACTGAGAAGATGGGTGTGGCTCAGAAGTTGCCCCGCCCTCTTCCTCGTTCGTGATGACCTCTCCCTGGGTAATAGTGACGGTCACGTCTGGCACATCTGCCACATTCTCGACAATGACCACCCGCCTTCTCCTCCTTCGCTCTCTCTCTGCCGACCCTCCCCTCGTCCTCCTCCGCTCCACAACCGCCACCCCTGCCCCTTCGTTAGTACCACCAGACGAGGTAGTAGTAGTAGCAGGGGGTTGTAGCTCCCTGGACGACTGCGTTCTACTCGCCTCGTCTCTTCCGCCACCAGAGGTGTCACCAGTCCCCTGAGGATCCACACTCTCTGTCATCTCCTCGCTCTGGTTATAAGTGGGCGGTCTCTCTTGTAGCGAAGCCAGGAACTCGCTGGTCGTGAGTGGAGTAAACTCATTGTCACTGATATAGTCGAGGTAGTCCTGGGGAGTGTTGTTGGGTCGGATTATCCGGCTGTGGAACGAGCGACGTGCCCGGATCCAGCAGGTTATGATGGCCACTATGGCGAGAGTGCCCAGCAGGATGACAGACGCCACGGTGTAGACGAGTGGCTTTAGACCTGACAGACAAACACATGTAGGGAGAGAGGGAGAAACAGTCACTCCTTTTATAGTGCACACACAGCCATGCTATCTCTTCCCTTCCTCTACTTCTCTCCTAACACACACACACACACACACACAAACTAGCAAATGGGATATTTACACATGTGCATCACATGACATTATGCTGTGGGTATAATTATACCGACTGAACGACTCAGTAGTCAGGGAGGCCAAGCTTGACAACTCTTGTAAACCAATGGAGTACAGAAGCTATACTCACTAGGGGGTAATGCTGTGAAACAAAGCGCTTGAGGCACTGTACTAGAGCTGAGTTCCGTTGCACTTATACACGTATGTAAACTGAACAGCTCACACTTTATATGAGGAAAGAGAGGGGGTTCTAACTTCTAGATATTTACTCAAAACTATATAGACCCACCTTTGAAGGATGTTTCACCAGAGCTGGTGCTCCCTTGAGAGGTCCCGCCACCGGTAGGGGGGCTCCCAGTACCGTCTGGTGTGCTGGGTGAAGAACTGGAGCCAGTGGTGGCAGGAGTGGACCCTGTACTTGGCTCAGTGGACGGACTAGTAGGTTGAGTAGTAGGGGAAGTGGTGGTGCCTGAACAGTGGGAGCTAGTATCATCTGCACATGGGGGGAAGTACATCAGGTTACTGGTAATCTCCATAGGGGAATCACTGTGTCAAGAGGTATTTCCTAGGAATTCATGATACACGTACGTCTACTATACAAAACGCCAATCTTCAACACATGGGTGAGATAAAGGTTAAATAGACGTGAGGATGTCGACAACATTTTCACGTACCGAAGATAATAGTGAACGTAGCAGTGAGTGATCTGGCAGAACATGTATAGGTCCTGGTACCACTAGCATCACTGGCAGAAACAGTGTAGCTGAGTCCTCCATCAAACAACTGAAAAGTCCACGAACTCTCTGGCCTCAAATACAGAGATTGTGCCGGATTTCCAGTGGTCAGACTGACATCAGATGGAACAACAGAGCCTCTGTAGGCACACCCTATCTTTATCGACTGTCCCGTGCAGTTATGCTCTGTGCCATCGTCTGTCTGTGGGTCACCCTGAATGACAAATTTTAGGTCTGGAGCTGCATGGACTGGTACACCGAGATACAATTCGTATCACTACGAATAAGTGGATCATTTGTAGTCTCACCTGAGGCCCACGGGACAAGACAGGAACACAACCAGAGAACTGAAAACCACAGAGGATATAACGTATCATCGTACGACATCACAAGATCGAACTGAGCGTATACAAGTTATTAATCCTTACCACAGATGCTATTGCTCACTATCCAACGTGTACACGGTCTCTCTAGAGTCATGGCTTGTGCGCTGACATACGAAGCTGGGAAGACACCAAGTTCCGAAAATGAACCGTGCGAGGGGGCGTGGCGTCACGGGCACAACAAACGTAACTTTTACGCATGCGCGCGTATCTATACAAATGGTTTGCGCATGCGCAAAACGTAACCAAAGCACCGCCAAAAATTAGCTAATTATAGCTACGACGATGAATCAACGAGTAGAATCAGCTGTTACTCTCTTCCTACTAATAATCTTCATCAACTGCAGTGTCATTGCGGAGGAAGATGCTAATCCTTTCATTTCACTGCCAACCAGATCAGCAAACTCCCTCTTCCTCCTCCTCTATCCCTCCTGTCCCATCATCTCCTGTGTTTCCAGTCTTTACCAGAGTCCTGAATGCCTTCCCTCCCAGTGAGGTGGATGGTAGCCATGTCTCAGTTGTTCTAGATGAGGACAAAATTGAGGGGGGTGGCCTACGGTAGAGTCCTTGAGAAAGAGACTATGATAGGAGCTGTTGAAGACTTTGTCATTGACTTCAAGAACCCAAACAAGGAGGTGTATATATATTATATATATATATATATACGATGCACACACCATCACACTTCTCATTCAAAATGTAACTGACTGGTAAGGCAGATGTTCTGAGCTACAAAGTTCTTTGGTTCAACCCACAAAACTTTGTCCCAAATAGGATCACTGAAACATTTGCTGTTGAACTGTGGTGTTTATTTGCAAGGCATGAAGGTAAACATTTTAACAAATTTGCATAAGCAAAATTTTTAACAATAGTGAACTGCTTTTACGGATAGTATGCACCCATGCATACAGCTGTGGAGGACTACGGAGTGGCAGAGTACGGCTACATTGAAGGAGAGGTGGGGATGGGAGACGAGGTGGTGGTGATTGTGAGGAGGAGCCAGACACACCCTCACCAGCCTGCCCACGACATCAAGGAATTCTCAACAGGAGATTTGAGCAGTGACGCCAGCAAAGTCTACCTCTATAATGCCGTTTGGAACAACAACACTAATCTCCCAGGTTCTAATACAGAACGTCTATAACTCTGGTGTTTTGTGCTTTTCCTGTAGAGTATAATATAGACTCTCATCACTTATCAAAGGGTTTTTTTCACTACAAACAGTGGTCACTGCAATGATAACAAAAGTTGTTGTGCAGGTATGAAGCCCAGCAGGATGACAGACGCCACGGTGTAGATGAGTGGCTTTAGACCTGACAGACAAACACATGTAGGGCGAGCGGGAGGAAGAGAAACACAGGCACTCGCCTTTTATAGTGCACCACACACCTGCACTCTCTCTTCCATTCCTCTACTTCTCTCCTACACAGCCACACACACACAACTAGCGCAAGTGGGATGTTACATGTCATGTACTCTCATATTCTACGTATTCATTTGCCATACATGGCATGATGCTGTGGTAGATGATACCGACTGACACGACTCCTCAGTGAGTCAGGGCGGCCAAGCTTGAACACACTCTTGTAAACCAATGGCGTACAGAAGTTCTGCATATCTACACTGACGCACTTCATCACACTAGGGAAAAAGTGGGTGGTATGCTGTGAATAAGTGCTAGTCTATTGTGAGCACTGGACTGCGAGCTGAGTTTCGTTGCACTTAATAGGTAAACTGAACAGCTCACACTTACATGAAGAAGAGACCGGGAGTTCCTAAACTAACTAAACCTACTCTATTCTAGCTACTAACTGCTAGATATTTACTACACAAACTATATAGACCCACCACATTTGAAGGAGGTGTCCTACAACCAGAGCTGGAGCTGGTGCTTCTTCAAATGTCCGCCACTGGTAGAGGAGTGGTGGAGGCCGGTGGTGGCACGGAGTGGACCCTGTACTTGGCTCAGTGGACGGATAACTAGTAGGTTGAGTAGTAGGGGAAGTGGTGGTGCCTGAACACTGGAGCTAGTATCATCTGCACATGGGGAAAGTGTACATCAGTGTTACTGGTAATGGCCGAGGGGAATCCTGCTGTGTCAAGAGGTATTTCCAGGAATTCACGATACATGTACGTCTACTATACCAAACACCCCCTCTCGCACATGGGATATTAACGTGGTGCGATCAAAGGTAAATAGACGTGAGATGTCGACATCATCATTTCACGTACCGTAGATAATAGTGGAACAACGTAGCAGTGAGTAGCAGTGAGTTGTCCGGCCGACATGGATAGGTCCTGGTAACACTAGCCACTGACGAACAGTGTAGCTGCTAGCGTCCTCCATCAAACAGTCAGTCCGAACTGTCCTTGCCTCAACGCAGAGATGTTGCTGAATTTCCTGTGGTCAGACTGTACATACAGCTAGATCAACCGGGTGTCTGTAGGCACACCCTATCTTATCGACTCTACCCTCGCACTTATGCTCTGGTGCATCGTCTGGTTTTAGGTCTACCCCTCAATCAATGACAACTTTAGGTCTACAGCTGCATGGATCTGGTACACACACCGAGATACATTCGTATCACAACGAATAAGTGGCTCATTGTAGTCTCACCTGAGGCCCAAGGGACTAGACAGGAACACAACCAGGAGAACTGAAACCACAGAGATATAACGTATCATCGTACGACCACACACGATCGAACTGAGCGTATACAGCTCTTAATCCTACCACAGATGCTATGCTCCACGATCCAACGTGTACTACAGGGTCTCTCTAGAGTCATGGCTTGTGCGCTGACATACACACGACACTGGAAGACACCAACAAGTTCGAAATGACGGTCAACTCGTGTCGAGGGGGCGTGGCGTATACGGGGACACAACAACGTAACTTGTACGCATGCGTATATCTATGCAGAATGTAATGCGCGTGCGAGAAAAACGTAACCAAGGCACCGCGCCACAAATTGACGCTAGCTACCACGGCGCGATGAATCTAACGCGTTTAAGTAGAATCAGAGCTGTTACGCTCTTCCTACTAATAATCTTCATAAACTGCAGAGGTCAATGCGGAGGAAATAGCCAACCCCTTATTTCACTGCTAGAAACCCACACCAGATCAGCAACTCCCTCTTCCTCCTCTATCCTGTGTTTCCAGTCTTTACCAGAGTCCTGAATGCCTTCCTCCTAGTGAGTGGGATGGCAGCCATATCTCAGTCGCTGCTAGACGAGGACAAATTGAGGGTGGCTATGACTGGTGGGGTCCTGGAGGAAAGAGACTAGATCCGAGCTGTGAAGACTTGTCATTGACTTCAAGAAT